TGAAACCAAATATACAACTGGGATTGTAGCTCAGTGGTAGAGTGCTTTTTTTTTTAATACCCTCTACTCTCATGTATGTTTTAATTTTTTTTAAATTTTATTTATTTATTAGGTGTAGATGGACACAACGCCTTTATTTATTTTAGAGAGAGAGAGAGAATTTTAATATTTATTTTTTAGTTTTTTGGCGGACACAACATCTTTGTATGTGGTGCTGAGGATCAAACCCCGGCCGAACGCGGGCCGCACGCATGCCAGTCGAGCGCGCTACCACTTGAGCCACATCCCCAGCCCTAGAGTGCTTGACTACACGTGTGAGGCCCTGGGTTCGATCCTCAGTGTCACATAAAGATAATAATTCATTATAACTAGTAATAATAGGTAGTTAATAATTAATAATAGGCTGGGCTTGGTGGCACATGCCTGTAATCACAGTGGCTCTGGAGATAGAGGCAGGAGGATCTCAAGTTCAAACTCAGCCTCAGCAATTTAACAAGGTGCTAAGCAACTCATGAGACCATGTCTCTAAGTAAAATACAAAAATAGGGCTGGGGATGTGGCTTTGTGGTTGAGTGCTCCTGAGTTCAATCCCTGGTACCCCACCCACCACCAAAATTAATAATACACCAATATTGACTCATCAATTAAGGAATGTACAACACTAATAGGACATGTTAATATTAAAGCCAGGTGAGATAATGCACACCTATATCTCAGCTACTTAGAGGAGGCTGAGACAGGATTGCAAGATCAAGGGCAGTCTCAGCAATTTAGTGAGACCCTAAGCAACCTTGGAAGAACTTGTATCAAATTAAAAGGGCTGGGGATGTGATTCAGTGGTTAAATTCCCAGCACCAAAAAATAAACAAAAAAAAGAGGCAGGGAGTTAGGGTTATAGCCCAGTGGTAGAGTGTCCCTGGGTTCAATCTTAGTACACACACAAAAAAATTAATATTAAAGAGAAGCATAAAAGAACTCTTTTGCTCAGTTTCCCCATAAACCTAGCAGCTCTACTTAAAAAAAAAAAAAATATATATATATATATATATATATATATATATATATATATATTTAATACTTGAGTCTGACACAAATGATCAGGAGACACTGAAAATGAAAAGATGGTCAGAAACCAGCCCAGCATTCATCAGGCTGTGTGATGATTTACCTGTGGGCTCTCCACCACTTGTCCTGGGAGGGAAGAGGAATATTTGCAAATTTATGTCCTGTTTTGGGGCCAATAGTTGGAAAGCAGAAAACTTTTTGTCTGTTTCTTCTCAATTGCCTTCAGATCAAAATAGTATTTCAACATTGCTTAAGGTGGCACCTTTTGGTCTCCCTACAGTGCATTGCTTTTTCTCTCTTGTTATAATTAATCCTTTCATCATCTTCTTATTTCTTTTTACACATTCAGGGCATAACATATTATCTTCTAGTCCCGAGGGTGGAAACATACAGGCAGGTAACAGGAAAAGGGAAATCATCCTCTTGGGAGTGTCAGGGACCCAAGTCTGACCTGCATGGAACTGCAGTCGAACCCAGCCTGCTGTTTCTGCAGAAAGAAACTGGCCATGGACCACACACCACCTGACACCAGAGGTTTGCAGCAAAAAGGCCTCTACAGAAGTAGGGATGGGACACGAATTCACAGCCTTCCGCTGATTGGCTCTGGCAGCGATCCTTGCCCAAGATGCCAATATGGACTCCTGAGCTGAATTTACCACTTCAATCATGTTAGTCTCTTCCTCTCTTTTAACCTTATTATGACTTTCCTGAAGCCCTGCTGCATTGGCCACTGCCTTCCATTTCCTGGAAACTGGCTTCAATCTGGCTTCCCGAGATGTTTCAGGAATATCATATATTTGTCCGGGATATGCATGCTTCTGTAGCCTCAAATAAACCTCTATTTTCTGGCCATCAGTACTCAAATTAAATTGTTGGCACCAGTTTCGCAAAGTATCCCGAGAAACCTTATTAATTGGAGGCAAAATGGTCGGCAAGGGAAGGGGTTGTATTTTACAATTAAGTTTTGTTTCAGGAAAGCAGACTTCCTGTTTGATTTCTGCAGTTGAAGAAACACTTGTTTCTATTGGATATTCTTGTTCCTCTGTAACTGGGACCAGTGTTAAAATCACATTTTCCTCATCGAATTGCTCCTCAAGGAAGTTCTTCTCAGTGACCCTGTCATTTGCGCCTGACATTTCCAGGAACACCGGGAGACGGCAAAGGAAGCAGGGCTCAGGACAGCTATGCTGTGTGCTCCTTGTCAGATGCCTTTTAATGAAAGCGTTTAATTCTAAATGTCCATTTTTCCATTTTGATTTTTTTAAATTGTTCTTTTGATGTCGTATCTAATTGTTATGGCTTGGATCTGGACTGTTCTCCAAAGGCTCACGTGTCCCTATGCAGCAGTGTTCAGAGGTGGGCTCATGGGAAGTGATGGATCCTGAGGGCTCTGACCTCATCAGTAGATTAATCCATTGATGGATTAAAGCTTTTATGACATTAGTAGCAGGTGGTGGAAACCTTAGGAGTTACGGCCTAGCTGGAGGAAGTAGGTAACTGGGGATGTGCCCAGAACAGTACGCGCCCCCCCAACCCCTTTCTCTATCACTCTTTCTCCTTCATGGCTGTCTGAAGGTGATCAGCTTTCCTCCACCATGTTTGTCCGCCATGATGTCTCTGCCTTGGAGTCAGCTGACCATGGACAAAAACACCTAAAAACCATGAGCCAAAATAAACCTTTTCCTCTTTTCAGTTGTTTTCAAGTTACTAAATAACTACTAGTGAATAGCACAAAGTCATAAAAATTATCATCTAGAATTTTAATAGTTTTAGCTCTTATATTTAATTAATTTTTGAGTTAATTTTTGTGTACAATATTAGAAAAGGATTTTTTGAGATTTCTTATTTTCAAAATTAATTTTCCTTTATCATCATAATTTATTTTAATTCTATTCTTATATTTTCTGTCACTTCTTTAAACACAATTTCTTTTAATTCTTTGAACATAGTTGTAACAAATGCTTTGAAGTCTCTGTCTGCTAAATACAACCTCCTTACCCACTCAGGGTTAATTGCTATTGACAGCTTAGTTTCCCAAAAATAGGTCATACTTCTTTTTGTTGTTATTGTTGTCTTATAAATTTTTGTTGAAAACAGGATGTCTTAGATAATATACTACAGCAAATATGGTTCTGAATGTGTTCTTTGACAGTGGTTATTATAATTTTGGGAGGGGGTGTGTGTTACTGTCTTGTTTTCTTAATTTTTTTTTTCATTTTAGTAACTTGCCTGGACCTAATCCATTGAATCTCTCCTTCCCATGATGTGTGCCTACTAACGTATTTAAAAATGAATTCAGTTTTTAAAAATAATTTTTAATGTGTAGCCCGGCTTTGTAGTGCCTCCTCGGTGTCTGCATAGCTTAGGGGTCAAATGGTGATTGCTCTCCAACACCTGGACCAGTAAGGCTCCCATCCTATGCTCATGGATCTGAGAGGATTTGGGAGCATATTCAACAATCAACAATCAGACACGTTTCAGATGTTCTGCATTCACTTTCCGCCAGGCCCTCCTAGGTCTTTCCTGCAGATGTACGTAGCATCCTAGTCAACTGGGAACGTGTGGATAGCTTGACTAGTCTTGAATCTTCCCTGCTCATGTGCAGAACCTGTTTGTTAAGCAGGATCTGGGGGTCATCCAGCCAGCCCTCCTCTAGCTCTCTCATCTCCAGGTTCTCTTTGTCAAATTTCTGATTAGTCCAATGGTGTACTGTTCAGCCCAAGTGGGACTTTAACTCAGAGTAGTAGAGCCAGGGGCCTTCCCCACTGCGTTAGCTATTATTTCTAATCACAGTACAACTGGATGTGGGGGTTCTACCCTCAGCTCCTAATTATGTCATCCCTCTCCAGCAGTGAACTTGCTGGGTTTGTGACCAGCCCTTCCCCAGCATCACTGTAACACTGGCCCTGATTAGAAGGAGGCAAATGGGATTACTGCAGATAGTGGAGCAATTTGGGGCAAAAATACCAAAATTTTTATCCTAATTTTAGTGGTTCTCCATGAACGAATGTTTTTCTCCATTTGACTTGCTGCTGGTGTTCATTTATGAGGGCACTGAAATCATTGTTTTGGACTGTGGTTTTCTTCCAATTTTAGATCTGTTTTTTTGAGGTACAGGATTTGACTATCTCTTCATTCCACCACGTCCATATCATCATTTTTGGTTAGGTATTTTTGTGCCTATTCTTGTTTTTCTTCCTCTACTTTAGAGAGGTTCCTTCACTAGGTCCTGACTTGCATTGTTTTTGATGGAGAGTCTGCTGTAATTCTTACCTATTCTTCTGCACACGATATGCTACTTTTCTCTGGCTACATGCAAGTTTACATGTGGTATTGATTTTCAGTAGTTTGCATATGATGCAAATTGGTGTATTTTGTCCTCATTGGTGTTATCTGAATTCTTTCCATTTGTACTTTGCTGTCTTTCATTCATTTGGGGGACCGAGTCACTATCATGCCCCACTTCTTCAGTATTCAAATTACAGCTATGTTCAACTATTTAAAATTGCTCCAGTCCCCTACATCCTCAGCCCTACTTTTTTCCCATCCTCTTTTAAGCTTTGTTTTTTCCTCCTGGTGATAGTTTAAGTTCAACCAATTCTACATTGAGTTGTGTTCAGACTAACAATGAGGTTGATGATGGCATTTCTACATACTGTCTTGTTCTTTCAAGTATTTCCATTTGAGATCTTTTTATAGTTGTCATATTTCTCCTGAAATTCCTCACCTATTCATGTATATTTTCCATCTTTCCTATTAGAGCTCTTAACATATTAATCCCCTATTTTAAATTCTCTACCTGATAGTTCCAATACCTGGGTAATATCTGATTCGATTCTCTTGACTGCTTTATGCTCTTGACAAGGTGTGTCTCTCACCTTGCTACTTTATGTGTCACCTGACTTTGCTGGAAAGCTTTCCAACATCTTGGCAGGATGGTAGACACTGAGGTAAGTATTATGGATTCCCAGTGATGGGATGTCTTTTATTTTGCTGGTGTTCCAACGTGGAGGGGTATAGTTAGTCTAGACAGGACTTGAACAGGGTTTGACTTTTGCTGTGCTGAAATTTATCATCAGGCTTAACACATTAACAGATTTAAAACTCCTCCAGTCATAACCTGTGGTCAGAGTGAGTGGTAGCTGTTTGTTGGAGAAGTATCCTCAATATCTGCTCAAGAATCAGGTTCATCTCTCTTTCTAGCTTCATGTCAGGGTGACTCTTTCTGTTCTCTCTCCTCCCCTACAAGGACATTGAAGTTTCCTTGCTACTCAGTGCTGTGCTGGGTAGCCTGATGGTAGGGTGGGTAGGTATTGCTGTCAGGATTAGGCAAGAGCCGTGTCTCTGGATCACATGGGCAAGGCCATCTCTATTTATCTGTGCTTCTGTCTTAGGTAGGGGGCCTCTAATAATTTGGGTCAGTTTGCTTGCTTGTCCCTACACCATGGCTAGTGTTTATTTTTGTGTCCTCTTCTCCCCACTGTGATGAGTCTTAATCTGAGTTTGGAGGCAACAGAGATTCCTGCTCTTTGATCAGAAAATTAAGACTTTTGTTCTTTACCTCAATCCACTGCATATTAGTAATGTCCCCCAGTTATGACAATCAAAAAAGTCTCCAGACATTATCAGAATTGGAGGCAAAGTTGTTCCTTGTTTAGAACTACTCCCTGACTCTCTTTTTTTCTGGGCACTTTGGAGGTCCACGGATAAGAGCCTGTGCACACAGTTGGGCACATTCCCCTTGTGTTGGAAGAGGCCATAAGGTCTCCACTCAGATCACTGTGTTTTGTATCACTGTGACAAAACACCTGAGAGAATTCGCTTAAAAGGAGAAATGGTTTTAGAAGTTTCCATCCATGGCTGACTGGCCCTATTGCTTTGGGCCTGCAACAAGAGAATATGTTATGACAGGAGTATATGTTGGAGGAAACTTCCCAATTCACAGAAGCTGGGGCTTGGAGGCAAAGAGACAGAGGATGGGGCTGGAGTCCAACATCCCCATTCAAGGGCATGTCTCCAGTGACCTAACTTCCTTCCACAAGGTCCCACATTCTAAAGGTTTCTCCCTTTTCCAGTGTTGCCACAGGCTGTCCACCAAACCTTTAGGGGCCATTTATCTAAACCATAGAAGTCATATTCAGTCTTTAGAAATATGTTAACAGTTTTGGGCTGAATTCTGCCTGGCTTATCAGGGGTCTTGTATCTATTTGCTCCAATAAGCAGGAGCTTGCATTCTGTCATTCCTAGGAGGCATGTAAATTTCTCCAGGTTTTGGGTTAATTGTTCTCCCCATGACATCAGGTCTCTGACCAGAGTTTAACAGCAGTTGTGAATATTCAGACTATTTAGGATATTTTTTTGGTCTTTGAAAACCAATGCAGTTTCCAGCCTTCTATACCCTAAGTGGGAGCTGGAAGTCTGACACAGACAACTTACAAATTTTTCCAACTATCCGGTAGAGCAATTGGAGACTTTCAGAAGTCAAACAACTTCCCCATAGGTAGATTTCAACCAACGCCTTCTATCCACATATTCAAGTTCATTCCTTATTCTGTTCTATGTACAGTGAGACCATATTAATGATCACTTTCTATTTATCTTATTCCTCTTTTAATTCATTCCCTCCAAAAGGATTTAGATGTTAGCACAAAGAACTACCAGGCAGAATGGGGGAGAAGTATGTTGGATAGCTGTGTTATGGTGAGTACCAGTCCTACCTTCACGTCTTTCACCAAAGTTTCAAATTCATATGCCTGAAGGGGCCAGGTAAGAAATAGAAATAAAATGTACTGGGTCTGTTTGCTCTTATTTTCACTTGTAGGCTGCTTTTGATGGTAGCAGAAACAGAGAGAAATCTTTCTTTATAAGAAATACAGGACTGCATGCAGAATGATCTGTGAGTATTCTTCCTCTCTCTCTCTCTCTCTCTCTCTCTCTCTCTCTCTCTGCCTAAGACTAGGAAAATTCATTTGGCCTGCATATCTATATCTCTACATATCTTTATCTATCTATCTATAGAATATAAATGGGGTTATGCATTGTGACTGTCATACACTATTGTCTTAAAGTTGCCCATTAAAGTTCTCCGTCTGTCCCAAGATCATTGCATTCAACATTAAATACTCATCAAGCATGCACTACTTTCCAGGTTCTTTTCTAGGCTCCTAGGATGCAGCAGAGAATAGGACAAGCCCTTCCATTTTGGTTTGTGATCTGCAGTAGGGAGGGTGGGAACTGTTGGCCTGGAGAATATTGCTTACAAAGCATGCTGCTGCCACTTACCCCCAGCTGATCATTGTCAACCACAGAAGGGGTGACTCCATGTTGGCAAAGTTCTCCATTTTCCGAAAAGAGCCAGTGGTTAGATTTTTTTACTTTAAATTTCAATTTTCTTATTTTTAAATACTAGTTCAACTTTTAAAAATAATCGCTGTGGAGGTTAAACGAAACATGTTGACAAACAGACTGTGGCTTGCGACTTCTCTCTAACACCACTTTTGCCCTTGCTGGTCTGCCTGAGAAGAGAAATGCAGGGGAGTGACAGCTGTAGTCATGCTAATTCCCTTCTTTGGAAGCAGCGAACCAGACATCAGATGTGGCCATCCAAGGCTTGATCTGCAATACAGGTTAACAATTTTGGGGAAAGCCATTTAAAAAAAAATCAGCCTGCAATCCGAATCAGCAGCTTATCACTAACCTGGAATCAACAGGCTATGGCAAGTTATATTACAATTATCCACCTGCTAGCAAGTTTGAGACTGGCTTTTGGAAAAAAAAAAAAAGATCCCTATTGTCATCCAGTCACACTCCAAAGGACATGGTACCCTGTGGCCCAAATTTGTGGTTACAATGAATTTTGTATTGGTGTTCATTAGTTTATTAAGTTCAGTGTTCCTGAAAAGGCCCTAACTTTTAATATTTTTTAAAATTTATACTGTTTATAACTTATTTCCCATGCCCCGCTCTCCACTCCTCCCCAAAAATTGAAAGCTAGTTTGGGTTTTCTTGACACTGCAGGTTGCATAGTTTAGCAAATGCATGTTTTCTTACCTGCTCCATATTTTAATCATCCTTTTTCACTTTTGGGGTCAGTTGTGAAATGATTTGTTGAGAGCTGTTGGTGGCTGTTGAAATGGTTACTTGTTGACTGTGCATTGTCCCGTGAACTGGTCATTTCTCCTTGCCACTCTTTGCCCTTAACGTTTCTTCCATCTGTCTTTTCCCATTTCACTCTGGATTCACCCTTTCCTCAAAGTTCACTGAAGACCTATGCACCCATTCCCCAGGGCCTCTGATCCGGCTCCTCTGGCTTCTGGATCTCACATTGACTTTTTCCATTCAATTTGCCAGGGCTCTTAGCTTAGAGGCCGTTTTCTACCTTTTAATCATCCCTTTTTACTTTTGGGGTCTTCAGATTAAGCTCCCAGGCTTTGCACTGGGGATACACTTCACATGTCAGTCTTTTCATTAGAGCCAACACCTGCCCAAATCTTTATGCCCTCAAGCCTGGCCTTGGATTTACAGGTTTTCCTCTGGTTCAAAGTGGGTCATTTGTTCCTCATTACCCCTATTCTGATGGTTGTCCCTGAATTGTTGGGGATCTGACTAAACCCCCAAATTCTACTCACAGAAACTTGAAGACTGAGAGTCTTTATTGTAGACATTACCTGATCTAAGCTTCCTGAGTGAGATTCCCAAGCAGGGAGGCACCCTGGGCCACACCCACTGTTCCTGAGACAGGGGAAGACACAGCTTCACACCTTCTCCAATAACAGCTGCATTTGAGTGTGCGCAGCTGATTTCTGTCAGGCCACTTCTAGATTCAGCTACATATTTTGTATGAGAAAACAAGAGAGTTTGATTTTGATTTTTTTTTTTTTTACAATTATACTGAGTCTTACTGGACTGAAATTACATTCTGAATATTTCTGCAGAAAGATGTTTAAAGGAAGGGAAATGACCTGCCTTATTTGAAAGTCTTCTGAGCATGCTCTTGATGTTAATCGAGGTAACCTGTGTGGGCTTTTTGACTCACATGCTTTGGATCCTGTGTCTGCAAAATGAATTTATGATAACAATGATATGAATAACTTTAAAGATGGAAAATCTTCCAAAAGTCAAATATTAACCGTCCTGTTCAGACCAAATCAAGGAAGTAAAACTGATTTCTGTTCCATGCCTTTTCCAAACTGTATACTTTTGAATTACTCATAAGTCACCATACTATGAAAACAAAACAAACCAAACAAAAAAACCAAGCAAGTCAAATTTCAGCAGATTGGCTAAAATTTTCTCTTTTTGATGTCAATTTGTTTTTGGCTAAATAATTTTACATGTATTTTCCTTATTTTGGAATTAACCACTTACCAGAGTCTTTGACTCACATGTTACATAAAAATAAGTCTTAAAAAATTAGCACTAGAAGGACTCTTTCATTTTTTTATACTGATAGCTATGTAAGAGGTCACACACCTTGTGAAGTGACTTTTTAAAACTATAATTAATAGTTCTGAGTTAAAAGATGTGTCACACGTACCATTCATACATGATGTGCTTTGTTTTACTGCCAAATACTAATAATCATTTCAAAAGGGGAGATTCCAAATTTACAAGACTCCTTTGGTGAATGTTTATAATAATTTAATAAACATTAAGACCATCATGCATTTTAAAAATTTCCTGTTTATTCTAACCATCCATCTCCTGACTGTATTCTAGTGCAATATTTCCATCTGTTGAAATAATATCAAATGAAATAGCTTGCAGATTGAGCTTGATAATTTATTGCATGACTCTAAGGAGTTTTAAGAGTGTTTAAAAACCCATTTCTTGCCATTAAGATTTTTAGATTCCATATCTTTGCTGCAAAAATGTTTGCAGGGTTTAATCTCCTTGGCCCCTAAGTACACATATTTACCACTGACGTGATCAGATATGATGTATTTATGACAGTTTCAAAACTGGAACATAATTTTTAAAAGATCAACACAGGACAGCGGCCAGAAGTAACAACTTGTCATCCTAACTTCGATGCAGTCTGAATTTGTCACCTTTGAGGCCTAAGAAAGGAAGTTTTGTTTATGTAAATTGTCTGCATATTTCCTAGATGTTGCATTTTTAAAAGGTTTTGAAACTTTATTGATTCCATTTTTTTTAAGGGTCTGGCTGAACAAAAACAGCAACACGGGTAAAAGGAAGACACCACATTAAATCCCATTGACTTGGTATTTAGACTTTTGGAGACCTTACGAAGCATTGTAGTTCTCCAACCCCAAATTGCTCCATAGATCTTACGATGGGGCAAATTTATTCTGGTGTATTTTTTTTCTTTTTCAGGGGACCTCGATTTAAATCTGCACATTGCCAAGGGCAAGGAGCCAAGAACATGGATAGAGAGGTAAGATCGATGTCACCGCAGCCCCCTCTTTGATATTTCCCTTTAAAAGCAGCCCTTTAAGCTTTATTTTTCATAATATTATCCATGGATGGAAAGAGTAAGAAGTGGGTAGAAATTTAGCCTCCTTGGTAGCACTCACGAGTAAAGAGGATGATTAATGAGTGTGGCCAAGGACGCGGTAGCACAAGAGAGTCTGTGGAAGTTAAACAAAAGTGCCTTCAGAATTTCCAAGGATTCCCATGATCCATAGTAGGACCTCACTGTGCCTGTCCACTCTTTCTATTTTTGATTAGATTTATAAACACAGCACCACATATTTTCATGTGGCTTATCGCCCAGGGGCAGAATTAGATTGACTGCACTGAAACTGTGAGGCTTGTGAGTTTTGGGCAAGGGCTAGAGCGAAATAAGTAGTGTAATTGTTTTTGCGGAGTGAACGTGGGACCTCCTCTGTTCTGAATTACACATGGCTCAACCCTTTGACCTAACCAGCCTCCGCAGTGGCTGGCAGAAGTCCTAAAGCTGCATGGAAAGGGTCATCGCTGCGCGAGCTGGAACGTTATCTGTCAGGCAAGATGTGGGCCAGCAACTCTATTCAATTACTCTCATTACTGGTGAAGCACAGTTGCGACCACCTCCACTCCATTGAACCCGTCATCCTCTCAGTTATTATTTTACCAGAAGGTGCCAAGCAGGGGGAGTTTGGGAATGCAGACACAGCATGGATTCTTCCACGAAGAGACAGTTTTCATCGTAGTTGCTCATTTTATTTTTGTTTATTAAATTTTGGATCCTCCTCCGGAAGGTCGTGTTTAAATAGTCAAAGGTTACTACGGTAATTTTTGTTTTGAATATATAAGGTTTGGGGAAATAAGTCATGATCAAACCTCTTTTGTTTTAATGAGTTTTATTTAAATTTTTTTTTGTGTGTGTGTGTGTGTGTGTGATGCAGGATTGAACACAGGGCCTTGTGCATGAAAGGCAAGCACTCTACCAACTGAGCTATATTCCCAGCCCAATAATTTAAATTATTTAAAAATAGATGGTAACCCATGGATGTAATTCCTTGAAATAATGAAAGCTAAGACAGATGCAGAGAATACTTTTGGGGGAAAAAGGTAGGAGAGAATTGCAGGTGCTGACATTTTTGCAGAGGTGGAGAACTCATTCTGTAATTCACAACGGTGAGTTGGATAAATATACATCTCTCTAGCTGTAATTTTGTAGTCATGTACTTGAATATTTGTTTTGACCTCAGTAACATAGTTTTGAAGGCAACTTAAGCAGAGAACTTGGGGTGTCCATTCAGGCATTTGACATGACATGCAAAACAGGTCCTGTTTCTGATCCTCTTCTAAAAACTTTTTATTTACTTTGTTTGGTCATCAATTTCACAAGTTAAAGGCCTCAATAGGTATGTTATGCTTAGTAAAACTTGGAAATAATTTAGCATTTAAATTTTTTTCTTTCCCATCTGAGGCATTCAGGCTGAATATTAATCCAGTTTTTTGTCCATGACATTTAAACATTTCTTCAAAGTGTACACAGCTTCATATTTAAAAAAAAATACTATTTTGTTTTACTCCGGGGACTCTAAAACATGAAAATAGGGATCAGCTACAAAAGAATCAAAAACGTTAAAATATCCTGTAAGCCTTCCACCTCCCCGCCCCAGAGAACAGCATCCAGAGCCCTCCCCAGCCTTCTTCTCATTAGCAGCAAAGGGTTTGCTCTCCACGTAATGTGACATGCAATGCTTGGAGCCGGCAGGTGCAAATTGCAAGCTGTTTCACTTTGGCCGTTATCCCTTAAATCGACAAAGTCATAGACTGGGAGAACAAAAAAAAGGTTCCAGCCCAAGATGCATAAATGAAAGTCTGAACAGGGATACACCAGCTGGCTAGGAGCATTCAGTGCAGCGAATGTTAAACATGACCTTTATGCTTCTTGCTGGGGCAAGGGGCTTCTGCACTCTTACAACTGACATGATGTTCTCAGAGACGCCTCTCCTGTTTATTGTAAAGGCGACACTGTGGCCGAGGTAGATGAGAACCGAAGCCAACATACCTGTTCCTGTTTGCCATCGCTACCCTCCTCCGAGCGATTCAGGCATGATTAGCTTCCTGGAGTTGGACCAGATTGACAGTATTTCTATCCATGTCATTTTTGGCTGATCCAAGCAAAGCCCCAGAGCAGTGAAATAACAAAACGATCACCACCACCCCCACCTCCCCCACCAGATGAATCTGCTGAGCTAGTCTGCCTAGGAAAAAAAAAAAAAGCAGTTGTTCATATTAGGAACACCTAACTTCATTTCACGGAAGAGACGTGGCACGCCAGGATGTGTAGGAATCTAAGGTATGCATTTCCATAAAGGGATTCTAACTCTGTCATTCCGAAGCTGCTTCTCTTTGTGACTTCCCAGTAGGCACTGGAACTGTTGTCTGCAAGAAAGAACTTTAACTTGAGCTCTGAGGCCACTGACTAGGTCTGACTGTGGGATTTGCCCATGCAGCGGAGGGTAGGGAGACAGCCCGGGCTGCCCTTGTTTACAACTGGACAGAAGAAAACAGAGAGACGCAAATGAGGGCTGACGGTTTCATGAAGCACAATTGGTTGATCCCAGATGCAATCTGACTGCCCTGAACTGAGCGATGATCCGTACAGTATGCAGAATTCACTTTCTTGCTGGTCGGTGCCCACCAGCCTTGGAGGAACCTCCCTGCGCCCCTCAGCCACGGCTTTGAGTGCAACCAGAGCTGAACAGCAGCACCCTGGGACCCGATTCTTTCTGACAACAATCACATTCTTTTAAAAACTTCATGGGTTTGGGTTGACACTGGTTATAAATGAGTTTTGTTGTTGTTCCTCTTTGCTACTCTGTCGTAGATTTCCTTTTCAAGTTGAAAGTGTCCGCATCCGAAGCTATTTGTGGCTTTTTTAATAAAAAGGAAAATATCATCGGAAACACTTCCACTTCTTAAAAATTTCAGGCATTTTTTTTTCTCTGTTCAAAGGCTTGCATTTTAATAACCTCCCCCCAATTTTTTTTTTCAAGCTGATTTATCACTCTTTAAAGCACACTTACGAAAGAAATGGGTTACTTTTCAGTTATGCAAGATGAATAGGTTTTGGAGACGGCTGTACGGCATTATACATAGAGTCAGCACTACAATTCGTCTCTTAAAAATCTAAAGGGCAGGTCTAATGTTATCTGTTGGTACCACAATAATAATAAAAAAAGCCTTAAAAATATGCTACCAGAAACTGCTCACTTTGATTTGATTTAGCCAGTTACTTTGCATTATTATATCAACTAAATAGAAACATAAGGAAAAGAGCCAGAGGCAGATATATAGTAGATTTAGTTCAGATTTCTAGGTATCTTGCTTACTTTCAAAACTGATATCAACGAGAAGCAAGAGGATACTCAAATTTTGTTTCCCTAATTTAATTTT